TGAGGGTGATAATTCCTATGTTATCATGTTACTGTGATGATTAAATGAGGTGCACAAAGGCTGGTTGTTATTTTTATTAATATTAGTGTAGATTTTCAACCAAATGATCACACTTCAAATATGGTGGGTCATGGGGCTGGAAAGTTCAATGAGCTATAGGAAACAGCCACAGCTGGAGGCTCCTTTGGAACAGCTAACCCTTCTGGGCCAACCAGAAGTTCTTCTGCACCTTCTTTCTCTCACTTTTTTTTTTTTTTCACCAGGAAGCTGCAGGGGAGAAGAAACATAGCTTTTAGGGACTCTGGCATCTTTTCATCCTAACACTGTCTTAAACATAGCAAACATTCAATAAATATGTCTAGAATGAATGAATCCTTCCATTCATATATATCTCCAAAAAGAATGAGTCTGAAATTTACTCTCTGAACACTTGTTACTGTAGCCATAGGATAAATACCTAAAAGGACAAGTACTGTGTCAAAGGCTGTATGATTTTTTAATTTTAAAAGACATTGCCAAGTTGACCTCCAAACATTTGTGCTAATTCACTTCTATCCAGCAGTGTGAGAGTGTGAGATCTCTGATTCTTTACTGAATACTGTCAGACTTATTTATTTATTTATTGTTTTGAGACAAGGTCTTGTTCTGTCGCCCAGGCTGGAGTGCCCTGGCTGGGATTACAGGTGTGATCCATGCACAGCCAGACCTTTTAATCCTTGCTAATTTGATGGGTGTGAAATGGAACTCCATGGTTGTGTTAGATTGAATTTCCTTGATGAATAATGAAGCTGAGTATCTTTTCCAATGAATATTGGGCATTCTTATGTGAACCTCTGTGAAATGCCTATTGATGTCTTTTCCCATTTTTAAATTTAAATATTCTGGATACTAATTATTTATTGATTTGGATGTGTAAACAACTTTAAAAAATATATAATCAAGACAGTAGGTCTAAATGGGAATATGAACAAGCTGTGCCAAGTGGAAATTAACCCTCCAAATGCTTCCATCCTTTTCAGAGAACCATATTTTAGTCAAATATCGAAGTTTTTAGTTTATAGAAAAGGGAGCAAGCAAATGATGGAAGCATTCTGTAAGCAACAGACTTCTCTAGCCCTTGAAATTATGGTAGATAACTGGCCCTTAGTTCTTCCTACCAGAAATTACCTCCCCTAAACCCTAGTAGGGCGAGGAACCCTTTCCTGAGCTGTGGTAGTCCCTGGGAAGACACTGGTTGGAACTAGAGTCAGTCTCCATCAGCAGATAGTACTCTCCAGGACGTTTGTCATGTGATCAGTGGTTTAGTCCCTCACTGCCATTTTCTAGCCGTGCGTCCCTAAAAACAAATCACATTTAATGGAGGTAATGATCTCTACCTAACCTATTCCTAAGAATATTAGAAAGAGCAAATGAGATCATAAAAATGAAAGGGCTGTGTAACTACAAGGTATGTTAGCTAGGCTCTGGGAAGTAACCAACAATTTGTAGAGTGGGAAAACCTCATTGAGCTACGATCTTGAGGCCCCTACCCCTTCTCCTACACCTGTTCTGCAGACAGGTACATGATTGTCTAGCCATGGTTTTGCAAGCTTGTCTCCAGAACAGCAGCATCAACATCACTGGGGGAACTTGTTAGAAATGCAAATTCTCAGCCCCCACTTCAGAGCTACCAAATCAGAAATCCTGTTTTAATTAGCCCTGAAGTAATTCTAATGCATGCTGTGAGGTTGAGAATCACTGATCCTAGTGGGATGAGCAAGGATTTTATAGCCAGCAAATGTGAGTTTAAATCTCAACTCTTCTATTTGTCAACTTGTGACATAGTAAGTTAACTAGACCCCTCTTGGGCATCCAAGCTTTCACCAATAAAAGGAGGATAATCGGGTTATATGGTTTTTCTCACAGGGTTGTTGTGAGAAATAAATGACATGAGGAATCCTGACTTTCTACGTTTTTAACTCTGCATCCTTTGGCAAGTCATACTGCCTTTCTCTGCCTCATTTTTCACATCCAACAAAACAGGAATGGCAAAAGTTAACATGTATGCATTGCTTACTGCATACTGTGTGCCAGCCACTGTCCTAAACAGTGCATGATTTTAGTTTACTGTTACAATAACCCTGTTTTACAGCTTCCATTTTCTATCTGAGAAAAACTGAAGCAAAGAGAGGTTAAGTAAGAGAGGTTGCTAGTGTTACACATGGATTCAAATCCAGGCGGTCCGCTGTGAGAGTCCTTGCATTAAAGACAACGCTTTGCAAATAAAAAGTTGTCGATAAATATATGATGATGATGATGAGAAAATTGCCTGGCACATAAGAGGTACTCCATATATTAATTTCCTTCCCCATGGCTGGTAGCTTGGCTTCGTGGGAGTTTACTCAGCTTTTCTTATAAAATCATACTGCTTTCTTCTGTGGTTAGCCCTAACCATAAACCTCCACCCCCTCTCTTTTTCAATAAGCAATTTTTGTTTTTCTATCTCACCTCTTTTTTGGCCATTTGTGTGCTCTGAGCAAACCAAGCAGAGGCTTGGCTCGATGGAGGAAAACAGAGTGTGGTGATGTAGGTGAATTCAGCCACTCTCCCTTCACTCCATGCCAGCATGTTTTGGGAATGAATGACTAAGCTGGAAAAGGCTTTGGACAAGTCTGATCTGCCTGATTGGGACGTATGTTCTGAGCCTCTGCTTACTTATCAACTAATCAGGAAATAAAATGACTCAAAAGTTCCGAGGGAATGTAAAAGCTCCCCCCCCACCCCAACCCTTTGCTCAGTTTTTCTTCAGAGTAAAATTTGCAGCTGGGGAAATTTAACCCACAATATTACAGCAGTGCTTTTTTCTTTTCATTTTTGTTTCACTAGGGCAATAAAAAGCCTTATTCTCTTTCAATTCAGAGTCTCACTCACTGTTCCTGAAAATTCTTTTTGGTTTTGCTCTCAAGATGGCCTTGCTTGCTGAGCATGACTCACCGGTTTAGTGACTCAGAAGTGGTATCTAAGAAGACAAGGATGTACAGAGTTATCAAGGCACTTAGTGGCATGTGGAGCCTGCCCGAAGCTTTCCCTAAACCCAGTTGTTGAGATAGAGCAGGATGTCCACTAAGAGCTCCTTACAGTGGTCATTGGTGCCAGTTTATTTGAAGCTCCAGGTCTGCCAGAGACATGGCCTTGTTGTAGAAAGCTTTGAGGTTTGGCTCTATCCTTGTCCCTTAACTGGGTGTGGCCTTGAGGTTTACTGTGGGGCAAAGCAAGGCTTCTGAGAGGTCACCTGTCCCTGCTTGGAATGGCCACAGAATCAGGAGATCTAAGTCTGCTGTAAATACAGTGTCAGGAGGGAAAGTAAAGATTCTTTTTATTGGATGAGGCCTTCAAACCTCTTTCAACTTGATTTTTTTTTTAGAAGATTAATTAAGGATAGATAGAGAAATGGACACATGCGATAAAGCAAATATACCAAACTGTACTTGGATATGTGGCTCACTGTATAATTCTTTTAATTTTTTTGCATGCTTGAAACTTTTCCAAATACAATGTTAGGTAAAATGCAGATACCCTTAGAAATTACTATACTTTTGAAAAAAGAATTACTTCTTTTTAAATATCAACAGAAGCCTTCCTTCTCTTCTTCCACTTCCTTCCTACTCCCAGCATGAGTCTTCTTTGTCAGGGCCAGCCTGCTTGATTAAAAAGGGCCTGAAGTGAAGCCGGTTCAGTACTCCTTTATGCCAAGGGCTTTATATTCTTCCTTATATGTAATTCCTCACAATAACCCTACAAACTAGTTATTATTTCCCATACTTTATGAAGGAACTGAGGCTCAGAGGGGTAAGCTTGACTAGTCACAAAATAATAATATTAATCTTACAGCATTTATGGAGCTCTTATTTTATGTGTCAGGCTTTGTGCCATGCACTTTACTGGTTTTAACTTGTTTGAGCCTCACCCAATTGTAGGAGGTAGGCACCATTATTACCTTCATCTTACAGATCAGGAAATAGAAACTCAGAGAGATGCAAGAACTTGTCCTAGCTTATTCTAAGGGCCAGTAAGTGGCAGACCCATGTTTGAACCAATTCTTCTTCTGCTTTAGAATCTTTGCCCTAGTATTCAAACCCAGGTCTTGACATTCCTTTGCCTAATTCTGTAAATTGACATACCCTGTGGAAACCTCTTGACCTGAGGCCACAAGCTCCTGAGGACAGAGAATGTTTTGTTCAGTACTGTCATTCCCAGTGTTCAGAGCAGTGCCTGGCACAATGAATATTATTGAGTGAAGGAGTGCATGAATGGTGGCTTCTCATCACCTACTCCCTCACCCTCTCAGCCCTGAGAAGTGCTGCTACTGGGTACACTTTGGCTCTCCTGGCCTTGGTCCTTGGAAGTAAAGATGCTTCTTTCTTTGATGTAGTTTACGGGCCAATGGTTCATTTGGTGGCCAGTAAGGAGTTGTGATGAAGGCAGATTTTCCTTATTGGTCTTAAGTTGTCAAAGAGGAGCAGAAAGGTATTATCCACTGCCAAGGAAAGATGGGAACCAGAAAAAAAAAAATACTTAAAATTTCCCAAAACTTTCAGAGAGTCTTCAAATTGTGGCAGCTAGAAATCAACTAAGGGACCCCTAGTGGCCACGAAGCTTTTGCTGTATAGCTGTATTTGACTCTTGGGCTCCAGTAATGAATAGGTGAACCCTGGCGATTAGTCCTCTTACATGTGCCCAAGCAGTTGGTAATTATACCTAACATTTATATAGTGTTTAGTTTACAAAGCACTGCATCTATTCTCCTTTTTGATCTTCTGAACAGCCTAGTACATATACAGGGCAGCTATGATTATCAGTACTTTACAGATGATAAAACTAATGCCAGACAGGTTAAGTCATCTGCCCTATATTACTCAGCTAATAAATGGCAGATATAGGTCTTCTACCCTCTTAACTTTTAGTCCAGCAATTTTTTAAAAGTCAACATTGCCTTTAACTCAGTAATTTCTGAGGATGAGAGTAACAGGTATACATGTATTTCTTTTTGTTACTCTTCTCCCAACTTAGTTAGGCCCTGTATTGGGTCAGTTAATCTTTCTGGATATCAGTTTACCAATCTGTATAATGGGGGATCAATACTACCCACAGTGAGTACACATGATGCAGATGAAAATTGTGAGCATCCAGAACTTCAAAAAACAATTCCTGAGTGAAGATATTTGAAGGAGACAGTGATGACTCTTACCCATTTTCCATAAAATAAGCTAAATATCACCTCTCCTGGACACCCTATCTAAAATGGCACCCCTGTTCCTCATCACTAATATGTTTCATTTTTCTTCACAGCATTTATTGCCATTTATTGTATGTTTATATTTGTTTGTATATGGCCTATGTGAATCCCCCCACTTGAATGTAACAGCCACCAGAGCAGGGACCCAAAACACTGACAGGTGGAACAGTGCCTGGCACAAATAACCATTTGTTGAATGAGTGATTGAAGGAATGAATGCATGAATGCGAGCTGTGTAATGATACAGAGTTAGCTTAAATTGAATGATCGAAAGATTTGCTTGAATCTTCTTTGCCCTCCAACGGAGGGGTCTCATGGTTTGGCTTCCTTATACCTATACCTGGCTACAAGCAGTCACTCAATGGCTACAAGCAATCACTAGAGCCTCCTTGAGTATCAACTTAGGCGTGGGTAGAATGGGTTCCGTAACCTGTGTCCGGGCAGCAGACACGGGTCAGTGTATTGCAATGCATGCCTCTGTGTTCTAGTAGCCTGTAAGCGGCTTGAGGACCGAGGGCTGGTCCGGTACACGGTTGTATTCCCAAATGCTTTGCAGAGAGTGTGGCCCAGAGAGGTAAAAGAAATGTTTGTTGAATGAATGAATGAATATGTAAGAGGAAACAAAATACAGGGCTCTTAATCTCCCTCCAAAGTTGAGGTTACCATCTGAAAATAAGCCTGGCACATGGCACACACATTTATCTGAACCAGATCTCTCCAGGGACAAGGAGGCGCTAAGCAGTTGGTTCCCCATCCTGAGGGAAGGAAAGGCGAGCCTAGGCTCCAGATCCGGTTCCATGCCGCGTTTTGGAATTTGTGTTTACGTCTGCCTTCATCCTCATCCTTTCCGCTCTAGCATTAGCAAAATTATAACCCGGCACACCGACTTGCTTGCAGTTATCATAGCCCGGTGCCCCTGCGTTGAGGGACTTCGCCCCCGAGACCGCTGACTGACTGTGAATGACAAATCACAAGTCAGGGGTGCAGAATCAGCCGGACTTTCCTGCTCATTTGCAGCAGAGGGACGAAGCAGAGAATGAAAGATTCTGAAAATAAAGGTATGGGGTCGACTGCAGAGGGGGGTCACTTAGAGATCTAGGGATGAGCTGTCACCCCACAGACAGGTTTAGTTAGTATTAATGGCTGATTTAACATAACTGTGCCTGTATAAGTTTGAAATTCTAGTTATATAATAAATATGATGACTTTTAAAAATGACTAGCTTCTAGTTTCCAAATATTGTGTCATTCAATTTTCCATTTTCGTAGTACTAAATATAACTATATTCTTGCATTCTTTATTTAGTCTTGGCAGAGTAACACGTTATTTCCATTTCACAGATTTCCTTATAATATCTCCCAGAATTTTGATAATTTTATTGGGGGGGGGATGTTTACAATAGTTAATAATGGATATGTAGGTTTTCAATGCATTATTAGAATTGGAATATCTGAAATACTTAGGACCTAAACAGTTTGGGTTCTCAAGACAAACATTTGCGGAGAATCCCTTAACGAACATTAATCTTTTTAGGAGGGCTCTATGGGGAGCCGTCCCTGACCTTCAGGACTGTTTATCTTGCAGAGAGACATTGGGATGCAAACTGCCCCCTCTCCGTCTGCCTCCACCCGCAATGAGTACCTCACATCCCCCCCACCTCCCACCCCCAACATTCTAATTCTGTTGGAGGGATGGGGGGGATGAAAGAAACGGATTTAAATGATAACTCAGGAAAGGAAAGGGGTCACTGAAAATGAACCAACCAAATTTTAAGTTCAACCGCAAGGATTCTGGAGGATTTGGGGGTTTTAAATGGTGAGGCTCCTTAAATTTTCTGCCGCAGTTGGGGGAGGAGCGATAGACCCCTGGGTCTCCGGAGGCTGCACGTGTTCCCCGATGCTGTTTCCGGGGGAGCCCTTCCTTCCCACTGCGCCGCTGCTTGTGCTCCGGGGCGGAGGAAGGCGCAGAGGGGCCGTGCTCCCGGGGAAAGCGCCCCGGGCTGCCGCCGGGACTGAGGTCGCCATCTCCGCGCCCATCTCTGCGCCTCGGTGCCCTGCCCCTGCTTCCGGAGCGCTAATTTTAGGGTCCCTGCTGTCTTTCCACCGGCTTTCAGTGTGCTCGCCCAGGAGCCGCCGCGCAGCAGTGCGCACCCCACCCTCTCCTCCTGGTGCGCGCCCTTTAAGGAGGCCCCAGCGCTCTGCCCTTGGGCTCGGGGCTTGGGAGAGCAGGTGCAGCTGGCACGAAGCGCCGCGGGCGGTTTACACGCTGCCCCTTCACCGCCTGCGTTGCGCCCAGCGACCCTTCTCGCGCCGGAGTTAAGTTGTTTGGGTGATCAGTGCAACAACACAGGCCCCAAGCCTTCCTGCACGCAGGGCCGCCTGGCTTGGCCTTCTCCAGTCCCCAGGAGCCTGCCACTCTGTCTGGTTTGTTACAGGATTCCTGCCTGGTGATGGGCAACGAGGTATATATATAGAGAGATACACATATACATACACATATATTCCACATTTTAAAAAGGAAAAGTAAAAAAAAAAAAGACCCTGCACACAGCCTGATGCCAGTGGGGAGAATGGTATTTTAATCTACTAAACTGTAATGAAGGCTCTTAAGCAATCTTACTTTCCATAATTGAGTCTTTAAAAAGGGCTGGTTTGGTAGTATTAACACATCATAGGCTCTGGATCATTCACAGCCACGTATCGATCGGTGTGGTTTTGATGTTTAAATTTTAATTAAGCAGCCTAAGTGGGGAAGAAAATAGCCATGCATACACCTGGTAGGTGGAAAAGAGGACCTATTCACTCCTGTTTCTAAGCCAGACTCTCATGGACAAATAGTATCTGTGTGTGTGTAATCAAAGTATTGAAAATCAGCTCTAAGAATGTTGGCGTTTCCTATGTTGTTTTCCTTGCCTGGGGAAAGGGTTTCTAGAAGGAAGAAATTTGTTTATTTGCCAAGTCATGCTAGGCCATGGACATGGTTTAGAAAAATTTAAAGCTACCTGACTGGGAAGCTCAGGTTGAAGTTAATATTCACCATTGTTTACAGTTAAAAAACTCCTGGATTCTCAGTGTACCAGCATGTTTTAAAGCTTCACATCTCCAGCCTTTTTTTGAGGGGAGTTGGTATTTAGAATTTTTGTCTCATTTTGTATTGGAAAGAGCTTTGGATTGGGAGTCAGGATAGGTAGGTTCTGGCTTGTTCAGTCATTAACTCATTAATGACCTAGGGCGAGACCCTTTATATCTTTGGGTCTAAGTTTCTTTATCTCTAAAATGGAGAGATTTTAGACTAGATTACTGTTTTCCAGATTGTGGGTGGTGAGAAAACAAGTTAGTGAGTCTTAAGCAACATTTTAGTTAGATGAAATAGAATAGAAAATGTCAGAAACCATTGCCCATGGCATAGGTAACTATTTCCTGAAACTTCTGTTTTAGATATCTATGTTTATGTATGTAGGTAGAGGCTGTATTCTGACATCAAATCTATTTTTTTGCTATGAGTTTTGGTCAAAAACGTTTGAGGAACACTGAAACAAATCATAGCTTATTAATTTGATTTTTAAGGAGTCTGTGAAAACCAGAAGTTTTATACATATAAATATGTGTGTATACTTGCATATATAAACATCTGTATATATATATCCATAGATATATATGTACATACATGTATTTATATATATAGAGAGAATAGTTTTCCTCAGATTTTCAGAGGGGTCTAAGACCCCAAATAGATTATGAATTATTATATTTCTGAAGTCCCCCAAACCTCTGCCAGGCAATTTCTTTGAAATCAAACAGTCCTTTTAGGGCTGGGAGATAGGAATGTGTTGATAGAGACCAGCTGAGTGGGTGTTGTGAGGCAGGGTGTGTGTGTGGAGGTGTGCCCATGGCAACCAGACCGTGAGACCTATTTGTGGGTATCAGAGTACCAGTTGGTGACCTGAATATGAAACATAAAAACACTGAAAATTGAGAGTGTTTGTGTTGAAAAGGACCACAGAAGAATTATTAAAATGTTATGAATTGTTTGGAAGTCAACTCTCCCTGTAAAGATGGAAAAAGAGAACCTAGTAAAATTTAAAGAGGTTGACAAGGGCAAATAAGTCATCAGGAAGTTGGATGTGAATTTTTATAAGCTACTGTAACCTGGCTGGTTCAGTAAATGTTGAATTGTGATTAAATAACTACCTTTCTTTCTTTCTCCTCTTTTTAGTTCATCTTAAGACAATTCTGTGAGGTTTTTAGATACAAAAGACATTGCATAACATTTACCGAGCATATCCCAAAATGTTTTGCAGGCCAAGAAAAAATAATATGTATGAGGCAATGAGAAAAAAATAGTTGAGTAGGTTATTAAGTAGATATTGGCAAACATGACAGCTAATTATAATAATAACAATCATAGCTCCTATTTATGACCACCCATTATGAGAAAAGCTCTCTGTGAGGTGCTTTACATATTGTCACGACACAGCAAGGTAGGTGGTATTTTACATGTAATGAAATGGATTAAGAGTTTTATACAGGGACACATAACTATAGCTAGTTAAGTGGCAGAGCCAGGATTCAAACCCAAGTCTATTTTACCTTCAGAAGCATTCACATGTAGGCAAGATCTTAAAAATAAGTAGCTCTGTACTCTGTAAAGTTACAGTTCTTAATAAAAGAGTCAATATCATTCATTATTAGAATTAATTTGCCTATTACGAAAAGAAAAGAACTATGAGCGTTAGAAAATGATGGCTTTTAACTAATTGTTGTTTTTTTTTTTTTTTTTTTTTTTTTTTTTTCTTTGTTGCCCAGGCTAGAGTGAGTGCCATGGCGTCAGCCTAGCTCACAGCAACCTCAAACTCTTGGGCTCAAGTGATCCTCCTGCCTCTGCCTCCCAAGTAGCTGGGACTACAGGCATGTGCCACCATGCCCGGCTAATTTTTTTTTGTATATATATTTTTAGTTGGTCAATTAATTTCTTTCTATTTTTTAGTAGAGACGGGGTCTCGCTCAGGGTGGTTTCGAACTCCTGACCTCAAGCAATCCGCCCGCCTCAGCCTCCCAGAGTGCTAGGATTGCAGGCATGAGCCACCACGCCGGGCTCTAACTAATTGTTTTAAATTGTGTTTATTTGGAAAACAGACATTTTAACTCTTTAAGTTCAACTCCAGATTTCCATTTTAGTTAAGTTCTTTGAGTATTTTATGAAACAATTTGGTCTTAGAAGCAGAGATATGAAGGAGTAAGAATGGAGAATTTGAAAATTTGGGTGGAATTTTTTTTTGTCTCTATGAGGTCAGATAAAATAATTCTCCTCTGTCCAGTTTTTATTTTTCTCAGTTTTGTTTCAAAAGGGCAAACATGGCATTTTGTGAGCAAAGTTTTGCCTAACGTTTTAATGTGGTAAAACTAGCACTTGAGTGTCACCTATGCCAGTGGTTCCTGAAGGAGTTTTTCCCTGGAACTTACCACAAAACATGATTGGGAATTGGAACAGGGTCAGATTCAGATTCAGACTTTTAGGCCCTAAATATTAAAAAAATAGTGTTGATGTCAATTCCCCAATCTGTATTTCAAAATGAAATAAGTGTAAGGAAATAACAAAAAGTGTGATTTTTCTTCAACAACATGACTACTTTGATACTTTTAGAGAAAACTGAATTCTTTCAAGGATTTTTGTCATTGTTGCATGTGACTGGGTGAGTTGGTGAAATGATGCTGGGGTGACTTGTGCATGACTGGGTGATTTCGCACGGCTACCCTGTGGTAAAGCTGGGATGAGAGACGGGTCTGTGCCAGTGGTCCTGGATGGGCATGGCATTGCTTCCTAGGGCACACATTGGAAATTTGCAAGGGTGTTTTTTGGTTGTCACATGATTGAGGGACTCTAATCTCATTCATGGGCAGAAACTAGAAATGCTAGATGTCCTGCAATGTTCTAGATTGTTCCATTCAATGATGAATTAGCGTATGTCCTGGGCAACTTGCAAATTTTTTGCTGAAGAGGTAGGTGAAAACCCTCTATACTTTTCTGAGCCTAGAACATAATTGGTTTTATATATACA